CTATAAGGACACGTGCACATGAATGTTCATTGCAGCACTTTTTACAGTAGCAAAGACCTGGAACCAACCCAAATGCCCATGGATGATAGACTGGACAGGAAAAATGTGGCACATATACACCATGGAATATTATGCAGCCATCAAAAACAACGAGTTTGTGTCCTTTGTAGGGACATGGATGAACCTGGAGACCATCATTCTGAGCAAACTGACAGTAGAGCAGAAGATCAAACACCGCATGTTCTCACTCATAGGCGGGTGTTGAACAATGTGAACACATGGACACAGGGAGGCGAGCATTACAAACTGGGGTCAGTTGGGGGGAAATAGGGGACGGACGGTGGGGGGTGAGGAGCTGGGGAGAGATTGCAAGGGGAGAGATACCAGATGTAGGTGATGGGGAGGAAGGCAGCAAATCACACTGCCAGGTGTTTACCTATGCAACAATCTTGCATGTTCTTCACATGTACCCCAAAACCTAAAATGCAATAAAATAAATAAATGGAAAAAAAAAGAAGTAAAATATATTCCTCATCTATGTACATTTTGATACTGACTTGCAGATTTTTTTGGTAAGATCCAGAGTGATAAAAGAATGCAAGTATTGTTAAGCTGCTTAATATAAAAACAATTTACGGTAAACCTGGTCACTGGAATGCTACCCATTATTTATAAAAAATAAATGCCATATACACAGAATGACAAGCTAAAATATATAAGTATTTATGCTGAGTAAAATAAGCCAAACAAGAATATATACTACATTATTGTATTTTTATGAATTCTGATTACTTAAAATGCATCTAAAATAGTATAAAGAAGATAAGTCATTGCCAGGGAAAACAGTAGAATAAGAAAAGGGGAGAGAAGGAGGAAGATACCAGAACAAGATGAAATGTTGAGAAGAAATCACTCGTCCAGCCTCTTGACAATGATTACAGTTACATCTTGTTTATTAATTGTACACTTTAATATGACAAGTTCATTATCTTTCAGTTAATCATCATTAAATGTATTACAAGCAAACAAATGAAAAATTAGACAAGGAAGGAGTAATAAAAAGGTAGAAAAATATGTTAAATGTCAGAAGTACCTGAAAATTATGTGCCTGGGCTCTAGTTTTCTGCATATTTTCAGGTGAGTGCTGGAGGGCAGCAACATCACATTTGCTCTTATTACAGAAAGTGGGTTCCTAAAACCACAGCAGGCACATACAGAATGTGCTGCAGTTGGTTTAGGGAGCAGGCAGAGCCAGTAATGAGGAACACAGAGCCAGATACAGGGGTTCACTCATCCCAGACATGAGCTCCTAAATGCATACAGAGCCCCTCCATGTGTGGGTTCACTTTCACGTCTGTAAGTGGAGAAAATATTGACTCCTACAGAACATAATTTACACAAGTATTTAAACATGAAATAGGATGATCAGGACAAAGTGTTTATCAAAGCACAACTTCATAAAGAACGCATATGTTCCAAATATCATCATTGTCAGCAAACTCCTGCAGGACACTGTCATCTTCTCTGGGCACAGCCTCCCCCTCAAGCGTCCCACCCTAGAGCTTGCTATATAGTAGGAGACATGCAAATAGGGTCCCCCCTGTACTGATGAAAACCAGCCCACCCCTGACCCTGCAGCTCTGAGAGAGGAGTCTAAGCCCTGGGGTTCCAAGGCATTTCCACCTGCTGATCAGCACTGAACACAGAGGACTCAGCATGGAGTGGGGGCTGAGCTGGGTTTTCCTTGTTGCAATTTTAGAAGGTGATTCATGGAAAACTAGAGAGACTGAGTGTGTGTGGACATGAGTGAGGGGAACAGTGGGTATGTGTGGCAGTTTCTGACCAGGATGTCTCTGTGTTTGCAGGTGTCCAGTGTGAGGTGCAGCTGGTGGAGTCTGGGGGAGGCTTGGTCCAGCCTGGGGGGTCCCTGAGACTCTCCTGTGCGGCCTCTGGATTCACCTTCAGTAGCTATTGGATGGATTGGGTCCGCCAGGCTCCAGGGAAGGGTCTGGAGTGGGTTTCATTCATTAGTTATAATGGGGGTAGCACATACTACGCAGACTCCGTGAAGGGCCGATTCACTATCTCCAGAGACAACGCCAAGAACTCGCTGTATCTGCAGATGAGCAGCCTGAGAGCCGAGGACACGGCCGTGTATTACTGTGCGAGACACAGCGAGGGGAGGCCCGTGTGAGCCCGGACACAAACCTTCTGCAGGGGGCCCCGAGACCGCCAGGGGGCGCCCGGACGCTGTGCACGGGGCTGTCTCGGGGCAGGTGCAGGTGCAGGTGCAGGTGCTGCTAAGGGCTGGCTTGCTGTCGTGGTCTGGGGCTGCCTTGTTGTCACATTTCCCCAGGGAACCTCCCAGATTTACAGTTCTGTACTTAAATATTTCTACACAGAATATATATGTAGAAATATTATTCTAAAATATGTATGGAACTGAGAAAGGCCCTGAATAGCCAAAGCAATCTTAAGCAAAAAGAGCAATGCCAGAGGCAACATGCTACCAGACTTAACACCACACTGTAAAGTCGAAGTGAAAAAAACAGCTTGGCACTGGTGCAAGAGAAGATACGCAGAAAACAATACAACAACCCAGAAAACAGAAATCAAGCTGCACACCTAAACCATTTGATATTTGACAAGGCTGACAAAAGAAAACAAGCAATGGGTGGGGGGAATCTCTGTTTTTAGTAAATGGTGATGGAATAAATGGATATTGACATTTAGATAAAATGCAAGAGTGAAGAAGGCTGGGCAGCTTCTACCTAGATTTCAGACGTGCAGAGAGTCATATGTCCAGGAAGAAGCCTGCTGCAAGAGTGCAGCCACCACAGACAGACTGTACTAGGGCAGTATCAAGGATGGGGAAAGATGGTGCTGAAGTCCCCATTCAAAGCCCACACTGGGGCACCTCCTAGTGCAGCTGTGGGAATGTGGTCACAACTCTGAAGACCCCAAAATGGTAGACCATGGGCAACTTGCACCCTCAGCTTACAGAAGCTTCCAGCACTTGACTCTCACTACTGAAGGCAGCCCCATGGCCTGTGCCCAGCAAAGCTACAGGGATGGGCTACCTGAGGTTTTGGGGAGCCAACCCTTGTCTCAGTGAACCCTGGTGGAAGTACATAAATTTAAGAGAGATTATTTTGTAGCTTTAAGATTTAATCTCTTCCCTGCTGGGTTTCATTTGTGTGGGCCTGATGGCCATCACTTTCGCCAATTTACCCCTTTTGGATTAGAATAACTTATGTAATGCCTGTACGACCATTGCACCTTGAAATAAACAACTTTTGTATATTTTTTTAATTTGCAAGCTCACAGACGGAGGGAAATTGCCTTGAGACTCAGATGAGACTTTATACATTTCAGTTGGAGGTTGATCAAAGTAAGAATTTGGGGACTAATTGAAAAAGATGATTATATTTTGCAATGTAAGGACATGAGAACTTTGAGCCTAAGACTACAATGATATACTTTAGATGTTTTCTTCTCCAAATGTCATGGTGAAACGTGATCCTCAGCATTAGAGGTGGCACCTCCTGGGAGGTTTGGGGTCATGGCATTAGACCCTTCAGGAATGGCTTGGTCACCACCCCATGGCACTTAGTGTATTCTTGCCATATTAGCTACTGTGAGATCTGATTGTTCAAAAGAGTCTGGCGACCCTTCTCCCCTCTCATGTCCCCCTCTCACCATGTGACACAGCCTGCTCCCCCTTTGCCCTCCTCCGTGATTGTCAGCTTCCTGAGGCCCTCACAAGAAGTGGATGCTGGTGCCACATTTCTTACACAGCCTGCAGAGCTTCGAGCCAAGCAAGCCTCTTTTCTTTCTAAATCTCTTGGCCTCAGGTATTAATTTATAGCAATGCAAAATGGACTAACACACTGCCTAAAGAATTATGCAGATTCAACACTATTTATATCAAATAACCAATATAATTAATTACTTATTTAGGAAAAAATACTAAAATTCGTATAAAAAAAAGTCTGAATAGCAAAAGCAATCCTAAGCAAAAAGACCAAAGCTGGAAGCAACACATTGCCTGACCTCAAATTATACTACATGAATACAATAAGAAAGACAGCATGGTATTGGTAAAAAAAAATGTAGAGAGTCAAAAATAAAGCCAAATATATATATAAAAAGAAAACACTGTTCTTTGAAATAACTGAGATAAATATACACAGGAGAAACAACCCTCCATTCAATAAGCGATGCTGGGAAAATTTGATGGCCTTATGTACAAGAATAAAATGAGACTTTTATATCACCATAGACACAAATTAACTGATTATGGATTCAATGCTTAAATGTATAAAATAAAAGTATAAAATATTTGAAGACAGTCTAAAAATGTCCTCTGGACATCGGTCTAAGCAAATGAAATATGACTAAGACTTCAAAAGCAAATGCAGTGCAAAGAAAAGTAGACAAACAGGATTTAATTGAACTGAAGATCTTCTGCACAGCAAAAGAAACAACCAACGTGATGCCCAGATCACCTGCAAATGGTAAAAATATATGCAAACTATTCATCTTGCAAAGGGTTAATATACAGAAATCTACAATAACTCAGGTAAGTCACCTTGAAATAACATATAACTTTATTAAGTAATAGGAAAAAACAGACATTTCTTAAAGGAAGACACAGAAGTGGCTAAAACAAAAAGTATACTAAGCATCACCAATCACCTGATAAATGTAAATTACAAACAACATGATATGGCATCTTCCACCAGTCAGAACGGCTGTTATTACAAATAAAAACAGCAGGTTTTGGCAGAGATACATAGGAAAAATAATGCTTACATATGCTTAGTGAGAATGTAAATTCGTACAACCTCTATGAAAAACAATACAGAGCTTTCTTAAGGAACTGAAATTAGAATTGCCATTTGTCCCAGAAATACCACCCAGTGGGTATGTTCCTCACAAAAGCAAAGTTTTATATCAGAAAATGTTACCTGCACGCCTGTGCTTATTGAAACACTATTTTCAATAGGACAGTCAAGTAATCTATCTAAGTATATATCAGTGGACAATTAGATAGATAAAATATGATATAGGCAAATCATGGAATACTACGCAGCCATAAAAGTGAAATTGTGTCTTTCACAGCAACATGAATAGAGCTAAAGACATTATCCTAAATAAAACAACTCTGAAAAAAAATGAAAAATACATTCTCTCTCTTATAATTGGAATGTAAACAATGGGTACACATGTACATAGATTAAAAACAATCGACACTGGGGACTGCAAAAGAGGGCAGGTAAGAGGAGTGAGGGTTAGAAAATTACCTCCTAGTGCCAATTTTCGCTATTGGGCAATAGCCACACCAGAAGCCCAAACCTCTCCTTTACGAAATACATTCATGTTACAAAACTGTACAAGGGCACTTTGATTCTATAAAAAGAAAAAGAAAAAAGAAAATATGAACAGAATTGATAGATGGCTATCTAGATTTACAAACAAAAAAGAAAAATGCAAAAGGAGTCGTTCCTTGTTTTGGAGCCCTTTTTCATTTTCAGGTACTATAAGAAATTGGAGACTTTTATGGCATGATCTTGGCTCACCGCAACCTCCACTTCCCGGCTTCAAGTGATTCTCTTGCCTCAGTCTCTCGAGTAGCTGGAAAAACAGGCATGTGCCACCACACCTGGTTAACTTTTATATTTTTAGTAGAGAAGGGGTTTCACTATGTGGGCCAGGCTGGTCTTGAACTACTGACCTGAAATGATCTGCCCACCTCAGCCTCCAAAAGTGCTGAGATTACAGGAATGAGCCAACGCACCCAGCTGCTGATTCCTTTTATAGCAGAATAGTATTAAAAACTCAAATCTTGATTCTGGGTGTATTTTTTGTTAATGTGCTGTCATTTTTTATAGAAAGTCTCAGATAATAAATCTAGGAAGTATGTGTTTGTGTATTAACCCATATATACACACACATCTAAATGATTTTTATCTAATTTATGTACCTATATTATGGTAAACATGCAAATATACTGACATATTCACCCTACATTAATACCATATGAATGTTTATCATCTTCCTTCCATGCCTGTCCCTGACCTCACACTCCAACCATGAGGAACCCCCGCCAACCATACACCCTCCATTCCCTTTGTGGTACAATTTCAGAATTCCTATAGAGTGGAACCAGATTGTGTAAGTTTTGCTTTATTATGGAACATCATCAACTGGAGTCCAGTGCTGACATGCAGTTCCTTTATTCTTTAATCTTATTGATTATCTATTTCCGAAGCTACTTAGTACCTCTCTGGACTTAATACATTTGTAATGACATTAGATATTTTCTATATAATCTGCATTCCATCCCAGAATTCCTGACCACCTATTTAAAAAAAAAAAGTCATATGAATTAAGATTGTATTAGTTACAGTTCTCTAGAGGACAGAATAATTAAGAGATAGACAGATAGATACAAAGATACATACATGCATACATATGGAGTTTATTAAGGAATATTAACTCCCACTGTCACAAGTTTGTACAACAGGCTGTCTGCAAGCTGAGGAGCAAGGAAGCCAGTCCAAGTCCCAAAGCTGAAGAACTTTGAGTCCTATGTTCAAGATGAGGAAGCACCCAGCACGAGAGAAAGAGGTAGGCTGGAAGGCTAAGCCAGTCTAACTTTTTCATCTTCTTCTGCTTGCTTTTTATTCTGGCAGCTGATTAGATTGTACCACCCAGATTAAGGGTGTATCTACCTTTTTCAGCCCGCTGGCTCAAAGGTTGATCTCCTTTGGCAGCACCCTCACAGACAAACTTAGGATCAATACTTTGCATCCTTCAATCCAATCAAATTGACACTCAGCATTTACCATTACAAGTCCACCCCTTGTCAACTTGAGCCCATACACATCTCCTGAGATTATACATAATCTTCAAATAAAGACAATAAAGTCATGATTACACTTAATATAACACAACTATTCTTCATCCAATCAGAAATGCACCAATCCCCAATCTAAATGCTATCACATGTGGTCCACTCCCTCAAGGACACAGCCATGATCAACCTATGACTTGGTGTCTGGAAGATTCATGCACTTTTAATTTTACCTTCAATATTAGACTCCATTTTATCACATGCAGACAGAGAGGAATATTTTAAGACATTGATGTGTTAGGCTGAAAAATTCAACAGTACGTAAAAGTTGCCTTCCCACCACATCCGGTTTTTACTACTGAATAAGGATCTGCCGTCCCCTAGGGAGGAGCTATAGTGAATGGGCTGCACTGTTAGTGGTTATGAAAATGGATCCATTGTGGCAAATGGCAGCATCATGTTCTTGTATAAGAACAATTGGTATTCTATTGTGTATATATACCACATTTTCTTTATTCATTTCCTATCTGCTCACACTCAGATTGCTTCCATATCTTGGCTGTTATTAATAGTGTTTCAATAAACATAGGATGCAGATATCTTTACGAGGTGGTGATTTCATCTCCTTTGGATATATTCCCCAAAACAGGATTTCTGGTCATGTAATATTTCTGGTTTTAATTCATTTATGAGCCTTTATACTGCTTTCCATAATTGTGGAAATGTAGAATGGGATAGCCATTATGAAAAACAGTTTCAGTTTTGAGGTATAATCCATAAACAAATAATGTTTGATTATGCCTCTCAGTGAGAGTTTCTAATAAATATGATGGAAGTCCAGGAAGTTTTCTCACCTTAACACAAGAATGGATTATGAATTTGCCTCTTATTTCCTTAAAAGCAAATGATTGGAAGCATGCATGATGGAGGTTGTTGGCAAATTTCAGGATGATCTCACAAGAGGAGAATCTGTTGGATAAAAATATTGGGTTTTAAGTTATAGACATGCAGATACTAAATATGAAACCATGAAGCCAAGTGACTATGTAGAACGTGTTCAGTTGAAGCAACAGGATGTTAACAAAGCACGCATTGCTCCATCACAAGGGTGATGAACTTTTGAGGCCAGTAAAGTGTGAGTGCACAGTAAGTGATGAAGTTATCGCCTGTACATAAAGTATAATATGCCCAGAGCTTGTACAGATTAATCATACACAAATATACACAATGCATTTTTGCATACATAGATGTCTAGAGGATAATTCCCTTAGAGAAATTTCTTCAGGTTACAGAAATCTGTGTAAGTTGTAGATCTCATGGGAGAGTGTCTCTTTATGAATACGGGTCTATTTTTCAAGCAGGAAAAATTATCTCTGTTGGATTAGGCTTTCAGTTGTGTAGATTTCTTAATTGCTTCTTTAACTGTAAGACGTGAGACAAAAAATTGACTAATTGGAATTTCATGGTTGTGTGAAAAAATTTTCTCATAAGGCTTCTTTAAATTATTTGAGACAAGTGGTCCTGATTTTTTTCTCCAATAGGTAAATTTTCACAAGAATTCAGAAAACCACCTCTCAGGTGCTTTAGTTTAGAAGACTACCTTCCCAGGCAAAGAAACTTCTGTCTAACCATGACGAGCTCATTTTTTTCTGCAAACAATTAAGTTTGAGACCTCACTACCAATAATCACGTAAATTTTACACTCTAATTTACTGAAAATCATTACTCCTGCATTTAATATTCATTGGCATTAATAAAAACGGTTCATTCTTGGATGTGTCCTTTGTTGCTGACCCAACATACCAGTTAACTGAGAATCTGCTCCCTCTGTTTGAGGCACCGAGTTGACTGACAATCTTCAGAGTCATCCATGAAGGAGAGTCCTGAGGTTCATGGGATTCTTGCAGACACTCAGGTGAACAGAAGAAAGAAACAGAATTGAGGGCTGCCAGCCATGTCCACAACACTGGGAATAATTACCATCTAAGTATAAAGGACTACATCATTCAGAATTCCCTGCATGACAGGCTGACACAAAAAATCCAACCCCACAGAGGCTCCTCAGCAGCCCTTAGAGTTCTTTCAGGGAAGAAAAATCTTCAACTTAAGTGAGTCAGTAAAGCTGCTCTGAGCTACAGAAATAAGTGAATTGGGCCCAGATTTGACTGAGTTCAATGTGATTATTATGCTCAGCTGCCACTCCAATATGGCCTTGGTATGGATAATTTAAATGAGCCTGGCTGTGCGGTTTGTTATATGAAAATCTGAACTAAATGAACATAAAGGTCATGTCAGGACTAGCATGAGGGTGAGAGATCCTGGGAGCCCCACGCCCCGTACTCTCATTGCCCTTTCCTCCAGGAAACTCCAGGTTCTCAGGGTGAGAATCCACATACATCCCTTCACAGCTCTATTACCAGGACACCTAATCTCTGATAAATACACCAGGACCATCTAGAGACAGACAAACCAGGGGAAGGGCATTTTTGGATCTATCTGTGGAAAGGCAATTCATCACCATTACAAGCCCATGTCAGCAGCCTTCCTCTATCATGAAAATGGGTAAAATTAGCCAATAGGTATAAATTTAAGAAAAATTTCCTGTGATGTTTCAGCCAGAAAATAGCAAAAGTCAGCTTTACACCTGGAGACTTCCTGTATCGGTCACAGCCCAGGGAAAGAAGACCACTACAGCATTAAAATTCAGCGGTAAGAACATGTAATGCTTCCGTGTTCCACACATTATGTTCTTACCAGTTTAGTCAATGCAGATTAAATATGAAAGTGTGGTGATGCACAAACTCTTTCTCAGGAGGAAAATAGGAGAAAAATGGTTAAGGAAAATAGAGCAATTTGAAGCCTTTGACACCAGCAACTTCGGCACCAAGGAAATTATGTCACCCTCGAGGGCCTCAAATTTACTTTTCATGGGGCAACTGCAGGGTTCCACAGTGAGATCAGGTGAATTCAATGTGCATGTTCTTCCCAAATCTCCACTTATATTCTGTTTTCTTTACTTCTGTTTGCAGAAAGTAGACACATACTCAGCCTTAGTGTCAGTGCAGGGAGTGCTTTCCGTGAGATGGATACCAGACAAAGAGGGAAACCATGGGACCCATTAATGTAAAAATTTGCCACGATGTGTGTGTGTGTGTGTGTGTGTGTGTGTGTAAATGTGTGCCGGTTCGTGTGTTATTTGAATAGCAGATTTGGAGTGGGCTTCTAGCCACAGCACTTGCACCTGCAGGTATCCTCAGATGTAATAATAAACTGCAGGACCCTAAAGGAAATAGGAATCTGCCCCAAACTCCAGAAGAGTTTTCAGATTCACCATGTGTCTAATGATTCAGTGCCTTTTGAGCTCCAGGAAAGGGCTCCCTGGTGATGCAGGAGATCTTTTCTTGGAGTCTCCCTGCAGAGTTCACTGGTTTCCTAAGGCCAATTCAATATTCCAAAAGATGCTGTGAGAGGCATATCGCATCAATAAGGGAGAATTCCGAGCCAGGGCACAGCCAATTTATACTGGGCTAGAGACACTGGTGGGAATATATTCTGATCAGACAGAAACATCCCTGCAGGGTTGGGACTGGGCTGCAGGGGGCGCTCAGGACACACCCAGCACAGGCTGCTGGCCCAGAGCAGGTGCACAGGAGGCTGGGGAGGGGTTCCTCTCAGGGCCTGGGACTTCCTTTAAAGATATCTAAAATAAGTATTTCACAAGGACTGGCGGTGTTTGTAAAAATATGCTATTCAATTGTGAGTATTTATCAAACTGGACGTTATAATGAGAACCACTTTTGCAATAGGGATTTCAAACTCAACTAGATCTCTTATTAGTAAGCAGTTGGAGGTCAGGGCGAGACTCTTAAAATAAGTGAAATTTTTGGAGAAACACACTCATTCCCAAAATAACACGTTAGCATATTAAGGTCTAGAAATGGTTCAAGTTGCCCCTGAGACATTCAAATGTGGGTTCAAAATAATGTGCATGTCCTGGGGGAGCTTGTTACACAGTAGAGGAAGCTCTGTCAACACAGAGTTCAGGGATGTGTTGGGGACGCATGGTTTTTAAAAGGATTAGAGCTTGAACCCTCGGTTTCTACAATTGTATCGTCCATGTGTCATATATTTACTCTTTCTCATACTGGGTCAGGAATTGGGCTATTAAATAGCATCCTTCATGCAAATAACTGAGGTGAATTTAGACATCTCTGTGCCCTGAGAGCATCGCCCAACAACCACACTCCTCCTTGGGAGAAGCCCCTAGAGCACAGCTCCTCAACATGGACTGGACATGGAGGATTCTCTTCTTGGTGGCAGCAGCAACAGGGAAGAGGCTCCACAGTCCCAGGGCAGAGGGAGAAACCAGGCCAGTCAAGTGAGGCTTCACCCACTCCTGTGTCCTCTCCACAGGTGCCCACTCCAAGGTGCAGTTGGTGCAGTCTGGGGCTGAGGTGAAGGAGCCTGGGTCCTCAGTGAAAGTCTCCTGCAAAGCTTCTGGATACCTTTACCAGCTACTATATGAACTGGGTGCCACAGGCCCCTGGACAAGGGCTTGAGTGGATGGGACGGATCAACCCTGGTAAAGGTAACACAGGCTACACACAGAAGTTTCAGGGCAGAGTCACCATGACCAGGGACACGTCCACAAGCACATCCTACATGGAGCTGAGCAGTCTGAGACCTGAGGACACGGCCGTGTATTACTGTGGGAGACACAGTGTGAAAACCACATCCTGAGAGTGTCAGAAACCCCAGGAGGGGGCAGCTGTGCTGACATGGAGGAGACGGCAAATATTATTAGATTTAAGACTTTCTTAGAAAATAGCGTTAAGTCATTAAAGAAAAAATATATGGATGTGTATTTGAGAAATTTTAATTATTCGAGAGATTTTCCATACAACAGATACTCTGTAAACAAATATCAGAGATTGGAGAATGAATCCAATTAATAAAGCTGATATAGAACTTCCACTGAAGGGATCTTTGTAAACATCAAATTCTGAATCAGTGTTATAAATATATTGGAACACATGTACAAATCACATTTTAACTCTACTTTTATCTATATTTTAAAAATGCCAAAAAAAGTCATTTTGTGCATGTAGCATTTTGAATTTGCACCATCAATGCATGATAGTTCTTTGTTTTCCCAATCCATATTGTCACTTGTCATTATAAGAATTATGTTTGAACCATTGTAATAGGTGAGTAATGGTATCTAACTTATTTAAATGCACATGTCACACATGTCTGTAATAAAAATTCAAATTTAAAATTTTCGTGTAATTTTTGGTGAGATGCCTCTCCTGATAGTTGGTTCATTGTTAACTGCATTGTTTTCTTTTGATTAGTTTTAAATATACTTGCATATTTATTATAAAAGTAATTTAACTAATTAAAATAATTCATTTCACAAATATGTGACTTTGAAGTATTTTCTCCAAGGCTCTGGCTATCTTTTACTCCCTCATCAGTGTGTATTGCAGAAAAATATGTGTGTGCATGTTTGCACTAATTTAGATCTAAAAAATGTAAAATGGTATTCACCCATAGATATGTCTTTGGCATTATATCTGATGTCTCATCATAAAATACACTAACAGTTCTTATTCTCCATGTCTCTAATCTCAGGCCACCTCAATTCATGAGTGATTACGCTTCACCTGCTTGATTAGAGGACTATTAACCTAACACATTTGGAATGCTTCTGTAAGGAGATGTGTTCTTCTTCCCATTATTTCTTTATTTAATCATCTATTAATATATGTGCTGGTTTATGAATGTCTATTTCAGACTCTGAAGAGGATCCATGCTACATTACCCATTTTATTGTTTAAAACACGACATCTTTACCAGCTGCTGGGAACTCATTTCGTTTGGATCCTGCATCCTTACAGCACACCTCATCCTTTTGTTTTTGAACACTTCCCTGCTTCCTGGTATTACGATAAATTCTGAGCTTGTTTTCTTTATTATCTTTTTTGTACATAGAATCAGCCATTTTTCTAAAGATTGCTTGTTTCTGATGTTAAAGAATAGTATTAACATAAAAAAATGTGATACTGGGTATGTGTGTTGTTAATGTTGTATAAGTACTTGTAGGGCCTCTCAACCAACTGGTCTAGCAAATGTGCATGTTTATGTGAACTCATGTTTATGGACACATTGAAACTATTTATGTGTCTAATCTTCTGTAACTTTATTACATTAAAAATGAGAACACACTTGTGTCTTCCCCCAACTATGTCACCACTTGGACTTTTCTCACCTTTCTTCTTGACTGTCCATGAACTCCCACTGCAAATTGAGGAACCCCATCCCGCCATATGACATTGTATTACTTGGCTGCAGTATTTCAGGACACATGCATAGCAGGATCAGAAAAGTAAAGCTTTACCCTCATTGGAAACATGTCTATCTACTAGAATAGAGTGCTTATGTGCAGCTTCTTTATACTTTAAACTTACAGAATTTTCTCATTGTCAACGTTTCTTAGGTCAGCAACTTCATTTTCCACTTTGTTCAGTGCTGTCATTTCAATGACACTTTATAATTTGATTTATTTAAAATTCTATAAAAGACAACACTATAGACAAGTAAATATAGAGAGGATATTCCAGGAATTTAGAGAATGGGTATATAATAAGTTTAAAAGGCACTGTTTAAGAAGAGTAAAAGTATTTTTAGTGATATGCAATATGAGACATTACACAATTAATTTGTCTAAGCACATACTTTTGTGATGGAAAATATAAACTTAAATATATACAATTTACAAAAAACCATTTAGTAGTTCATTAACCCCGGGATCAAATGAAAGCTGTATAAAATTATAACTTATTTCATGAGGGTGGCGTTGTCATCAGATGCATGAAACAAAGAATGAAGTAATTTTCCTCATTTGCATATAAGATGTTACCACTCACTTTAGTGACCTTTCATTTAAAACAAATCAATTTTCTACATGACCCAGCTTTTTTTCTTCCTGACAAGCAAATAACCCACGGGATTTTTTTCTTTCCTTGGTTGAGATAGATTTTCCCAAATTTCAGCTCAGTTCAGGCATACACTGTCCCTGAATGGGCATTTACCCTCAGATGGGTGCACACACCTGTCAACATGTGAATTCTTCTGTCCGACAAACACGCCTTTACTCATGTGGATTCTTCCCTCAGACAAACACACCTGTCCCCACATGGACTCTTTTCTTAGACTACCACATATGTTCTTAAATTTACTCTTTCCTCAGAAAACAGACGTTTCCTCATGTGGACTCTTGTCTCAGACAAGCAAACATGTCTCCATGTGAACTCTTCACTCAGATAAGTACACGTGTTTCCACACTGACTGTTTTCTTACAGAGGCATATATATCCAATGTTAAAATGTTTTGCGACAAAGTGATCTCAAGATAATGATCATTATAACTCCCCTCCCTGACAAGGTGTAGATCTGTATGTTTTTCATGGTAGCCTAACTTTGCCTTATTGTCAAGAACTGGAGTTTGCAGCTCTAAATGCACCAATTAGAGATGGGTGTCCATTTTCTCTGGAAATCTATTTTTAGTTTCTTACTGGACGTATTTGTTGATGTTTGCTGCTATGAAGATACCTGGACAGTGTCCACATTAGAGAATAAGAACGAGTAATGGGCAGATTAACCCCATGCATTTAGACCCAGGAATCCTATGCCCCTGCTGTCCCTGAAATGGAGACACAGAGGATGGATGGGCAATGCTGAGCGGGGCACCATGACCACAAAAAGAAAGACATGGAAAATCACTACACTCAAAAACTACTGAGTAACAGAGTTTAAGCAATCAGCAGGTCAGTGCTGAGATGCCAGGAGGACCACGGCTCTCAGGTACATTGTACAAAACCCAGAACTGAGCCGCACAATCTATGGCCAAGTTGATCTTTGACAAAGTCAACAAAAATATGCACTGGAAAGCGGACACTCTCTTCATTACATGTTGCTTGGACAATTGGACTGCCATATGCAGATGAATGAAACTGGACCTCAACTTCTCAACAGAAAATGGACTGAAGACTTGAACATAGGACCTCACAATATGAGCATACTCAAAGAAAGCACCAGAACTCCTCTGGGAACTGGGCTTAGTAAATAATTTATGACTAAAATCTCAAAAACACAAGGAATAACATCAAAATAAGACAAATGACACTTAAACTAAAGAGCTTTCACACAGCAACAGAGTGAACGGACAAGCTGCAGAACAATAAAAAACATTTACACACAGTGCATCTGACAGAGGACTAATATGCAGCATTTACACAGAACTGAAAAAATTCCACCACAACAACAGCTATGAAAAACAACCTCATTCTAAATTGGGAAAGGACACGAATCAGAATTTATTTAAAGACCACATAAAACAGGACAATAGATATGTAAACAATACTAAACATCACTAATCATCAGGGAGATGAAAATTAAAACTGCAGTGACACATCTTAAACCCAACAGAATGGCTATTATTAAAAGCCAAAAATAGCAGAAACTGGTGAAGATTGAAGGCAAAGGGAGCTCTCAGTCACTGCTGGTGAGGATGTAGACGAGCACAGCCTCTATGGAAAAGAGTGTGGAGATTTTCCAAAGAAATAAAAGCAGAACAATCTTTGATTCAATAACCCTAATACTGGGTAACTATCCAAAGGAAAAATAAATGGTTATATCAGAATAATAACCAGACTTTTGTTTTCCTGTATAACTATTCACAATAGCACAGACACCAACCTAAGGAATTAACCTGTGTCTAATAACAGATAATTTTATAAATAAAATGTTACATATATATACAATTAAATACTATCCAGCCATATTAAGGAATAGAATCATGTATTTCACAGCTACATGGATGGAACTCGAGGTCATTATTTTAAGTGTAATAACTGAGAAACAGAACAGCACACACCACATGTTATCACTTATAAATGGGAGCTAAGTATTATGTGCACAGGGATGTAGAGAAAGAAATGATGGACACTGGAGACTCAACAATGGGAGAGCGGAAGGTGGGAGAATGGTGAGAAATTACTTAATGAGCACGATGTACATGATTTGGATCATGTACACATTAAAGCCAAGACTACAATGCAGTATATATGTAACAAAATTGCAGTCACTCCCCATAAATGTGTGCATATAAAATAAAAACAAATATAATTAAAATATGAAATTAACAGTTGACCAATAATCTTGAAAATTAAAACTTGTGATCAATAAATGAAAATAATATTAGTTGAACTTGATCAAATTATAAAACGTTTTCTACTCAAGTGACTGTCAAGAAAATAAGGATGAGCTTCAGAGTAGAAAATATTTGTAAATCACCTATTACCAATGTAATCATGATAAGAGTCTGCAAACTCAACAGCAAAAAGAAGCCATCAGTTTATAAAATAGACAAATGTTTGTGCAAACGTTTTATCAAAGAAGATGTACAGATGACACATTAGCATACGAATATGATTTTCCATTAATGAAATGCAAATCAAGATCAAAAGGAGACACTACTATAGAATTTTTAGAATGACAAAAAATAAAGTAGAAATACTGACAATACTGGTGTCAGCGAGCATGCCAGGCCCCTAGAGACTGAAATACTGCTGGTGGGAATGCAAAATTTAACAGTTCTGGGAAAACCATTAGAGTTTCTTATAAAATTAAGCATCTCCTTAATCCATAATATAGAAATCTCCTGAGTATGTACTACAA